AATGATTGGCTCAAATTTTATTTAACCTAATCACTCACATTAAATCATCACGAAATTGGAGATTTTCGCCCATATGAGTCGCAGGTATATATTTTTAGTAAATTGTCACTTGATATGATATCGGCTAAGTAAGCTGTTAGTTAGTGAGATGATTGTTAGGTTGATCCCGATTTTCCACGGTGATATTAATTCATATAAACTAAATAAATATCATTATAGAAATCATCAACTCTGTTTCACGCGTTATATAATCATTTGTTTCTGGTATAGGCAATTTAACTTGTCGGCTGCGGCTAACTTAATATAATTATCCAGTTCCAAACTCTAGTTATAGTCGTAAAAAACTTTATAAATATGCCTTATTTATGCTTCTTTACACTCAATTGATTTCTCAAATAATAATAATAATAAATAAAAGATTTGATTATTATTAAAAAAATGAACCCCTCTGAAAAAAAGCATTTCACTTTTGATAAAATTCCTGAACTGACTGGAAAAGTAATTAGATTATTATTATTCAATTAATTGAAAAAATAAGATATCCACCTATTTAATCTTTTTATCTATCTATTATTTCTAGGTTGCAATTGTTACAGGAGGAAATTCTGGGATAGGATACATTACGTGTAGGGAATTGGCCAGAAGGAATGCTCATGTGTTCATGTTAGGTCGTAATATCGAGAGATGTCAGACTGCCATTGAAAAAATCAAATCCGAGACTGGTAATCAAGATGTTGAATTTCTACAATTGGATTTAAATAGGTTAAAATCTGTTAAAGAATGCGCGGAAAATTTTTTGGCAAGAAGTTTACCATTACACATTCTGTAAGTTCAATATTATGATTATACAATAGTTTAAATATTACCTAATTGCTGATTATTTGTGCATTTTTATCAGAGTTAACAATGCGGGAACCACAACGTCGTAAGTAATAACGTTAAAATTCTAGTTTCTTTCCACTTGTAACTATAACATTTTGAGTAAATAAGTTAATATAATAAATAGTAAATTTTCACTTACTGAGGATGGAATTCAAGATGAATTTGGAGTAAATCATGTCGGACACTTTGTAAGTAAACAAATATACAATCCAATAAATTATTAAATCATTTTAAATAAAAAATTCATAATATTAAATATATATATATATATTTATATTTTTAGCTTCTTACTAAATTATTATTGCCAAAAATTAAAGCTTCACAACCAGCACGTATAGTAAATGTTAGCAGTACTGCTGCTTATATGTTTGTTCCTGAGGGTGGAATAGAATTCGAAAAATTAAATGATCCAAATTCACATAACCCAAGGCAACGTTATTCACAATCAAAATTTGCAAATATTTTATTTACTAATGAATTAAATAAACGGCTTCCTGAAGAAATACAAGTATTTGCTAACTCTCTTCATCCAGGTATAGTAAAAAATAAATTTTTAACTAAACAACCATAATTAATTAACAAAATTATATTATTTATTATTGTTATTTATCAGGAATCGTAGATACCCCCCTGTTAAGAAGGGATGATTTATCTTTCCCAGGAAATATTTCAACTTCTTCAATCTCATCTGAAGATGGAGCTATTACTATCTTATACTGTGCTACCAGTCCAGAAATCGAGAAGAAAAATTATCGTGGAAAGTACTTTGAACCATTTGGTATAGTAGTTGAAAAAAAGTCTTCATACGGTGATGATAATAATTTAGCTAAGAGACTTTGGGAATTTACGGAGAATTTAATTAGCGAAAAATTATTGTAAAAATAATTTCGTATTTTAATATAAATGTTCAGGTGTATTTGTTAGGTGGCATTCCATTATAAATGTAGTATGTAGTAAATATAATGTTATTATTTTAAAAGGTCGATATTTAAGTGATATTAAAATCATATAGATTAATTACGGGACATGACTTTTTTATCCCATTACGATTAAACTTTGTTATGTGGATTGGTATTAAAGGTTCGCTTAAAATTTGATTCACGTACCGTTGCTGTGGGTTCTTTTTTTTTTTTTCATAATAATAGCATAGGATAAAATAGTACAGAATAAAACACTATGCAGCTGTGAATTCTTTATAAAATATAAATTTTTTTTTTGTTTCTATAAAGTGTCGAGTTATAGTGTATTTAATATAAGTAATTTGCTTAGCAATTCAATATTTAACATTTAATTTAATATTTTGCCAATAGGACAAAATATATTTAACGATAAAGTCCGAAATATTTATCCAGCGTGAATAATTTCACCTTTGTAGTATTTCGGATTTGTCAAAAATACTAAATCACATTGTAAGTTACTTTCTACGTTATGGTTATAACTCGTTATAGGTTATTGCCTGCATCATTACGATACCTCAATTGTTACGGCAAGAGTTGTAACTATCATTTCAGGAATAATATATACATTATATACACACACATATATATATAATATCAACTCTAGACTTGCCCTCATATTATGCCATAAACATAGATTTCATATCTTGATAGTTAATAATTCGATAAAAAATTCTAGGTTTCAGTCTTCTCACCTACAAATATAAATCATACAATGAAATGATGCGACCTTCGAGAAAATCATGATTTGAATTTGAATCAGTAGCTGTTGAGAAATCATCGCGAAAAGTTAAAAAAAAAAAATTTAAAATATCTTAGGAAAAAGCTAAAATCGGATAAATTTTTCTTTCTTTGAATTTTAAATAATCATTCGACAACCAATTATCCAAATTTGATAAAATTATTTTTATTTTAATTCTGTGGGTCATAGAATTAAAATAAATATATATATTTATCAAATTTGAATAGCTAATTGTCGAGAAATATTCATTAAAATTAAAAAAAATTGGCCGCAACTTCATTTTTAATGACATCAAACCTATTAATGAAGATTACTCGGCACTTATCTAATCAAATTCGATGAATATATTTTTTTATTTAATTCTATGAGCATATAGAATTAAAATAAAAAATTTGATCGAATTTGACCAGATAAGTGCTGAGTAATCTTCGTTGAAAATTTAGACGCCTAATAAGGCCACACAAAGGTTATTTTTCGTTCTGCATTATATGGATTTCAAAATCTCCTGTCGGTTGGTCGGATTCTTTTGTTATTATTTTAGCTTATCGATTCGGTCTCAGCACTTTTTTCAGTTCAAGAACTTATAAAACAGCTGTAATCTACAGTAAATTACATAAAATATACTGCTTGTAAATCTTATCATTGCTTTGTGGAGTTGGGTTAGTATTAAGCAATACTAATCAACACAATATTTATCTGATAACAACATTTACTTAATAAATAAAGCCACATATACAAGATACAATATTAGTGACAACTTTTTTAAGCTTCCCAGCTACAATAAGTAACCTTTGCCGAACAGTAAAAAAAAAAATTAAGAATCTTCGCTATGAACTTTGATAATTATCTATTCAAAAATCAGTAAATTTACTTGTGTCATAAAAATTATTTTAAACAATACAACTAGCGGAACGTTATCCTATATTATTGCAGTATTTCAGTGTTTTAACACAATACTTCAATAGTATTATAATATTTAGATACAACAACATTCAATTTACCAAATATTCTATAGTTGAAACTGATAATCGATTTAAATCTGTCAAATTCTAAATAGCAAATCCATGATTTAATTATATCATTTAAACACATGACTTTGAAGTGAATAAATATGTTGCAAATAAATTTGGTTGCAAAAAACTTTACAGTTAAATAATAAATTTATAGTTAAATAATTATTTTAAAATAACCTCGTACTAATACAGTATAATAAATTTTAATTTATAATTAAATATTATCAATATTACAAAAAATCTGTTTATTGTGCTTTGCAAAAAGATGCATCATAATGTCGCGTGAAAATCGGAGATTCTGTAGATTTTAAGAATCTTATCGATTTCAAATAAATATAAATATAACTATTGCGCTTTGCAAAAAGACAAAAAGATGTGACCTCTGCAGATCACAAAGTCATGTGAAAATCGGAGATTCTTCAAATTTTAAGAATCTTATCGATTTCAAATAAATATAAATATAACTGACCGAAAATATGAATTATGGCGGTTTGCAAAAAGGTGTGACCCTGTG